TTCCAAGATCAATTATTTTGTCATGCCTGGAGATTTATCTCCAGTATCAAAAATCATATTGAAATCGATGCAATTTTGTACTTTAGCTGTAAAACAATTTCCCAGCAAAAGACTGCAGTACAATCACACTTCACTGGCTTTACCTATTATATTTTTCTAGGAGTTCAGTCCGCATTGTATAAATTGGTATAAGTAATCATACGTGTTTAAGAAACATCCTTGGTTCAAAGTATTCAGTGTGTTTAAGACATAGACTGGTTTATTTTTTTGGCTCTTCAGAACTATTTTTCTTGGGGCCTTTCCACAAAGCCATATAACTCAGAATATCAAGGCAGAAAATCCCACAATATCTGTTTTCAACTGGGTTATCTGCGTCCACACTGCCATACATTCCAGTTCAAAGCAGAAAATGTGGGATTTTGTTGAACTGTGTGAAAGGGGCCTTTGAAACAAAACTCTCATGGTACCAATAGAAGTTTTCCTCTGCAAGACATTGATAGAGCTGTAGTTGGCATTACTGCCCAGCAGAAGGGGGATGGAGTAGATGTCCCTTGGGGGTCACCTTTTGTTTAATAGTGCAACCAGTCCCCAAGTTATGAACAGATCTGTAGGTTTGTTCTTAAGTCAAATTTGTTCTGTAGGTTTGTTCTCAAGTTGAAATTGTATGTAAGTCAGAACACGTAGTTTAAAAAATGTAACTCCAGCCTAATTTATATATTTTTTTAGCTTTGGATAACATAGGGGAGGTTTAATTTCCTTGTGGTGTTTATTTTGCTCTCTGTGCCCATGTTCAGGAGATTCCACCACTTTCTGTCACTGTGATAATTAGATTTGGAAAATGTGGCTTGTTGTGGAAACAAGGATTGGTGAGAAAGCCTCAGTGGAGACACCTTTTCCCCATATTAACTCTTCCAGAAAATCATCAATTTCATTTCAAAACGGAGTATGACTGAATACTATGATAAACATACTCTACCAAACACTTCCCTGCTTCAATGTGATGAAGTCCCAGGAGTGAATTTACCTTCCTAGGAATAGATTTCCTGTTGTTGCACTCCCTGTTCTTAAATATGAATAGTTTCTAAGTTAGATATTTGTAAGTTGGAGACTGCCTGTACTTTAGGTAATAGGGGAAAAAACCCGGCGCCCTCACATTTCTGTGTGAATGCAATATTGAGATAGTCAAGGTCAAAAACAGAGAAACAACCAGCTAGAACAAAGGCCAATAGAGACAAAAAAAAATGCTTTTAAGATAAAGATATTCAAATGCATTTCTCCAGACCAGCAGAAACTAGCTTAAAACAGAGATGCTGCCAAAAAGTTGAAAAACATCCACAATATCTAGGTGAAAGGGCATAATTTACATAGAATTTTTCACGCCTCCTTTTGCATAATTTTATATTAATTTCTTGCTATCTGAGAATTTTCAGATAAACAGGCAAAGTGTAGTTTAAAACTAGGTGATTTCATGGATGTTTTGCATTAGACTAATCATGGAGCTTTTATGTAAATTGAGAAAAATCCAATTTTATACATTCCTGATTAAGTTTGCATACTTTAGACCAAACTGGACTTTAGAGCGTTATCTTTCAGCTTTGACGCCTTTCTGGCAGAAAGTAAGAATAAAGGCTCCAATTGATGTCCTATGTTTAGGGGCTTTTTTCCTTCTGGGAACTAGTGATATCAACATTGTAGAAGCCTGTGTGTTCACTTTCAACTCCCCACCCCCACCCCAAAATAAACTACTGAGAGCAAGAGAAGAGTTTGGCATCCAAAAGAACTGCAATTCCCAGAATTGCTGGCTGTGCTAGCTGCCTAGGACTCATGGAAATTGCAACAATATTGGGGAAGGGCATCCTTCCCCAATATTGTTGAGTTCAACAAAAAGAGATATGCGATTTGCAGTAATGCATTTAGTGCTGCATGTAGTTTGGCTCCAGAAAGTTCTGGGACACAAAGGCTTGCTTCACTAAAGCTTTGGTTGACAACGTTTTGGAAGATTTGTAATAAGACTTTCTTTTTGTCCAATATATCATAGACTTCCTTTGAACAGATATTTTTATGTAACTAAAATGGCACACATCCATTTTAAACAGACTCTACTTGGGGATTATTATGCCCCCTTCCACACATCTGTATAAAATCCACATTGAACCGGATTATATGGCAGCGTGGACTCAGATAATTCAGTTCATAGCAGATATTATGGATTATCTGCCTTGATATTCTGGGTTATATGGCTGTGTGGAAGGGCCCTAAGACAATAGCAGTATCATGACTACAGTACTCAGAGTCAAAATGAAGATGATGGTTTTGGGCAGTGCTTACTTTTTCACTTCGAATTGCCCTGATTAGAGAACCAACCTGTAGGAAAGCAAAAGAAAACTGTAAAGTAAAGGTATGTACATTAAGTCTAGTTGTGTCCAACTGTGGAGGGTGGCGCTCATCTCCATTTCTAAGCCAAAGAGCCGGCATTGTCCATAGATACCTCCAAAGTCATGTGGCCAGCATGACTGCACGGAGTGCCGTTACCTTCCCGCAGAAGCGGTACCTATTAATCTACTCATATTTGCATGTTTTCGAACTGCTAGGTTGTCAGAAGCTGGGGCTAACAGCGGGCGCACACGCCACTCCCTGGATTCAAACTGCTGAGCTTTCGATCAGCAAATTCAGCAGCTCAGTGGTTCAACCCACCGTGCCACCGGAAAACTGTCGTTTCTTGCTATAATTTAAATAATGCAAAATCCGATCAATAATAATCTACAGTACTAATGGCCAGTGTGCAAAACATTACAACAGAAGTAAGAAACTTTTAGCTCCACCAAGTATTTTGAACTTCTATTCTGAACCAGATTTGTCAGTGGTAAGAGGGTTATTGTGTCAGTTGCATTCCAAATAATGACAAGGCCAAAGATTACAAATTGGCCCACAAGGTCTCAAAAGATAGCTGTGGAAATATGCCAGGAAATTAAGATGAAAATATTGCTCTGCTGAGATCAACCACTATGATAGCTACAAAACGGGGATTTAAGTGGAGATTCAGCAAATGAGGAAGACCCAAAACTGAGAGCTATCTAGCAAATCAAGGCAGAAGATGACATGAAATTGAGGTTGGGATGGATCAAAAATAGCTCCACTTATTTCAATTTTTAAAATCTTCTCTAACAGTAGGAACAGTGTGGACACACAATTCTTTCATATGTTCTTTCAAGGAACAAACTATATTTCTTCAATTTGAAGACACCACTGATTGTAAGATGCACACTCGTTTCAGTACCACCAACAGAAAATAATGTTATATATATAAGGAACATTGTCCATTGTTTGTGTTCAGTCAAATTGTGTATTGTTTTGATGACATGTAATTCTATTTTATGTGTGGCACCTTTGGGGAGATGGTGGTGGGGTAAAAATAAATTATTATTATTATTATTATTTAGTGTACATAAAAGCACCCATGATTCTAAGATGCACCCCGTTTTTAGAGATGTTTATATGGGGGGAGCATGCCTTATGATTGAAGAAATACAGTAATTCTATTTAGAGGCACCACTAGGGTTGGTATCACTCAGTACTCATGGTGATACCAGTACTCATGGTGTCAACCTGTCAGTTGTTGGGTTCCCCAGACCTACCAACATGGCCAAAGCTTTCCCTACATCCCACCTGGGCTCTTCCACTGCCCATCTCAAACAGGAAACAGGGAGGTAGGGTGTTCCTCTTGTTGGGTCCTCAATGCTGCTTACAGCCAGGTCTTTTGGCACCAACCACAGAATCTCCCCTCAGTCCGCATAGCTCCCTGGTTGTCACCAGTATTAAGCCCCCTGTTAAAGTTGATACTTTTTGGCTCAAATAATATTATAGCAGGACTGGGGACCTAGGGCACTTCCAGACAGCACTAAATCACGAGTTTTAGTGAGGGGCAAAAAATCCCAGGACTACAGGAGAGGTCCACATACAGACCTGTTGGTCCTGGGATTTCTGCCTTTGTTGTCCAGACTAAACTTGATGCTTTGTTCCGAGATTTAGAGGCTCCTAAGACTTCTATTGAAATCTGGCAGTTTTTTAAAAAACCCGTGACATGCGGATATGTGGATATGCGAAGATTTGGTTATGGAGATCACTGCAAAAGTTCTGTTCTATGTGCAGGCCAGAGAAACTGTGCCCTCCACACATTTCATTAAGTTTCTGGCACATAAAGAAAATTTTTTCCTTCTACTCAAGTGGCACCTTCTTTTTAGGAATCGACCAATCAGAAACAAGCATCTAAAACCTGGGAACAAACCCAGACAAAAAGTCCCAAGATTTCTGATTGCTGGGACATACAGACATGCGAAGATTCGGATATTCGGCTCAAAACCGCATTATTCCCACACCTGGAAATCTCATGTTTTTTGCCTTCTGCAGCAATTGCTTCTGGGTTTACAGGGAATGGCATCTGGCCACCCTCCTGTTTGCTGTGGAAACTCCTGGGATAAGGGTACTGTCTGGATGGGCCCCTAGTTCTTCAGGGCAGATCCGCCATTCCTTCAGTGTCAAGCCAATGCTCCTTGAGCATCTCCAGATGGCCACCCTATTGTCTCCACTGTACCATAGCTAGGTGGTTTCCCAGTTTAAAACTTTCATTTTCTGATTGAAAAAAAAAGTCTTCTTCAGAGGTTTTGTTACCATTTGTAAAAGCTTTAAACCAAAATAAGCAGGTGTTTCTGGTTACATTCTTTTGCATTTGACTCCATGCATCATTGGAACGTTACCCTCGAAAACCTCTCTCAAATTGAATTTGGCCCTTAGATTAACAGTGTTTCATGGGCCTTTCATTAAAGAACATGAAGTAATGTCAGTTGTGATCTTAACTGAAATGTCAACACACTTTTTAAAAAAATAAAAGAAGGAGGAGAGCCAGGCATGCAACAGGTTTGAACAAAACAGAGCTTATGGTCAAACGCCAAAGAAAGACAGGTGAGCAGCACTTACTTTTTCACTCTGAGTCTTTCTCATTAGTTCATGAGATAAAGCCTGGGGAAAAGGAGGGGAAAGCTAAGTATTAATCTTAGACATATTGATGATTATGATTTAGAGTAGTGCTTCTGAAAATGCCTATGCTTTTTTCCCCTATATCTGTTTTCCTACTATGGAACCCAAGATATTATGAAAGATTTGCTAACTTTGGAAAACAGCATCAGCTTTAAAGGCGAAAGATATGACTGGGTCTATCACACACCTACTTTTCTATTGCATTATGCAAGCAATTGATACAGCCAGGACTCTGGGCAATTGCAGGTGCATGCGCGAATCTGCTCCGCAAAAAAACAATGCCACACACTTAAAGTTGGAAAGAAATAGACCACAATTTTATTGATGACAGCAACAAAATAGGGTTAGTGCCTGCACGGGTCCGTATGCAAGCACTGACCAATCCGCCTGTTGATCAAAGAGCCTGAACCTCCGGCCCGGTACCGGAGCCCCTAGGAATGACAGGAGAGGATCCATGTGGGCAGCTGTTAGCTATAGTTTCCCAATTTAGATGTAATCCCAAAGACTTCCTCGCTTGTATTCCTGCTCCTGTGAAGGGAAAGGCAAAGTGGCTGAATGCAGGGCCACAAGGCTTGTTTTCTTCTGAGGACTTTGTGGTGTGAGAAGGGACAGATACGCATTCAAATAAACACATAAATACACACATGCATACTGACAATGGTTTTAGCTGCTTTTAGTTGTAGAATGCTCTGAAATTCTCTAATATAAGGCAATTATAAATATATTAACAAGGAATTGTACGAAGCCATTATAGGAACAGAGAAACATACTCATTCTATTGAAACAGGGCTGCTGTAGATGTCAGTACCTATTGGCTCTCTTAATTTCTCTGTATGAACTCAGAGAAGAGCTAGAAAACATTACAATAACCCCTAAAGTTACTTTAACCCATAACATTTCCAAGTTGTTACCATTTCATCACATTTACTAAATTCCTCTGAGTGCTACACTTAAAATGTGGTAAGACACTATGTTCATCACATTAGGTTGGGTTCATGTGTAGGCTTAGAGCATTGTTTGCATAATTTAAATGTGGGGGCCAGCATTATTTTCAAACGTTTCAGGAGGTGGTGGGGAAGTGGATTTTTGGTAATGATTCAGATGTTTGACCAATTTTGTAATGTGATGCCATTTGTTGCTCTCAGGTTTAAAATGAAATGTTTCCCCCATTTGTGTGAGGGGAAATTGTGGGAGGAGAGAAAAGGATGGCAATCTGCACTGGAGAATAAAAGCAATCAGGACCTACTTTAAATAACACATTTCCAGACTATGCACTCCTGGGAATTATAGTTTCCCAAGGTCCACACCCTTCTCTGGGTGCATTTGCAATGGAGGATAAAAGCAGTCTGGACACACTTTATTATTATTATTATTATTATTATTGTTGTTGTTGTTGTTGTTGTTGTTGTTGTTGTTGTTGTTGTTGTTGTTGTTATGCCATGTCTCCATGCTGTGCAGTCCTGCAGCCATAGTTTCCCAAGGTCCATACCCTTCTCTTGCTGCATTTACACTATGGAATGAATGCCCTTACACCCCACTTTAAATGTTATGGCTCCATGCAATGGAGTCCTCCTGGGAGCTTCCCAAGGTCCATACCCTTCTCTGGGTGCATCTACACTGTGGAATGACTGCAGTTGGACCTTACTTTAAATGCCATGTCTCCATAAGATGGTCTTGGAAACTCCAGTTTCCCAGGGTCCATGAACCTTCTCTGGGTGCATCTACACTGTGAAATGAATGCAGCTGGACCTTACTTTTAAAACCATAGCTCCATAGTATGCATTCCTGGGAGTTATAGTTTTCCAAAATCCACACCCTTTTATGTGCAGCAGCCGAGGGGGGGGGGGAGTACATTGCCGCTTTCCCTCCCTCCCTGCTTCCTTGCTTCCAGAATTGAGGACACTTAACAGCTGACATTTCAAAGAGAGGAGGTTTGATGGCAAAGAATGCCGAGTACAACTGAGTAAAACGGATACATTCAACAGTATGATGAAGGTAGGGAAATAATCCGTTTCATTTCAAAATCGAGTATGTCTGAGCTCTATGATCAACCTACTCTACCAAACACTTCCCTGCTTCAATGTGATGAAGTCCCTACTAACAGCATTCTTTGGAAGACATTCAATATTCTTCTGCTGGTGTGTGCTGCAGGAGAAGATCAGTAGCAAGAGAAAGTTCAGCTTCCACTATTGATCTTCTCATTGAGTAATACCTGGTAAGCTTCCGAAGATCCAAATTCTCCCATAATGTGTTTTTGAAATGCTTAAAGTACTCCTGAACTCACAGGACTGCTATCTATGGTTTTATTTATCCATGTCAGACAAAATACGTCCTCTATAGGCATTTTCTAGTTCCAGCAGGGCAACTCAATAGTATTCTTGGGACAGAAGTTCTTCATTTTAATAAAGCTCACTATTAGTCATGGTTTTATGTATCCATACGAAGTTTGTCAATGCATCTTCACAGATATACTGTATGAGATGTTGGGGTCCAAAGAAGCTTAACATAACAATACATGATAACAACTACAGTAAGTAGTAATTGTGACATATAGGTGTGAATATAACTCAATTCTACTAAATAATTTTGGGTTACATTTGGAATAAAAATATTTTCAAGACATGGATAGTTTGCTTTTGCCTTCCCCTGAGGCTGAGATTTGCACAAGATCACCCAGTGGGTTGTCATAGCCAAGTGGAGATCCAAACCCCGAATCCATGCTCAACACTCAATCCATTATGCCACATGGGCTCTTTTACAACAGTATTTGCTGTCATTCCTGATTGAAGTTGAAGTTACAGCAATGCAACACTTACTCTCTTTTCACGGATCTTTCTGATGAAATCATTATATGCCTGTAGGGGGAAAAATATGAATTCAGATGAAAAGAAGTTGAATAAATCCTCTGTACTCTTATCTCTATAAATAGGTCTTATTTGGAGAACATCCAACATGTGGCAAAAGAGAGAATACTCACTTGTGTTGCTAGATCCCTTTTGCCTCTGCAATTTGACGAGCTCTGTTAAAATAACACAAACAGAATGAATAAAATGAAAATACAAAGGTCTTATACATTTCCTTACAGTTTGTGACCGGTATGTTGAACTTGGACTCGTAGCCAAATGCTTCATATTCACTCTATTTCTGCTGAAGTTTATTAAGTCCCAGTTGCCACCATGACAGTATACAAAAAGTTGTCTGAATCCAGTGAACAAAAGGAACTTGGGTAGATGTTGACTTCGGGATGTTTTGTGAATGTTAATTCTACAAACAGCTCTTATTGCCAACTTCACTCTAGAAAAATTGAATATTCTGCCCTCTCCTTCTTCAACTCCTCATACTGCCAGAGTAACTCAGGCTTTATCACGTCAGCCTATTGTATCTCAGCAATTGTTGAAGCAGATGGAAATATACTGGCACAGAAACAATCACTATCATAGGGTTGCTCTGAGTTTTCCGGGATGTATGGCCATGTTCCAGAAGCATTCTCTCCTGACATTTCGCCCACATCTATAGCAGGCATCCTCAGAGGTTGTGAGGTCTGTTAGAAACTAGGCAAGTGGTGTTGATATATCTGTGAAATGTCCGGAGTGGGGGAAAGAATTCTTGTCTGCCTGAAGCAAGTATGAATGTTGCAATTGACCACCTTGATTAGCATTGAATGGCCTTGCAGCTTCAAAGTCTGACTGGTTGCTGCCTGGGCATGTGGGCAATTTCAACAGAAAGGAAGAAACAATGAAAATCAATAAAATCTGGCTACCAGTATTAAAATACTTTAAAATCAAGCCAGGAAATAAAGAGCAACACTTAAAAAATGGGAAATCCAGAGAGGAATCAATCAGGGTCAGCTAACACCTCCCAACAAAGGATCCCCCTAAACAGCAATCAGCCAGACTTTGAAGCTTCAAGGCCATGCAATGCAACACTCACACTTTCTCCCACCCTGGACATTCCACAGATACACACACACACACACACACACACATCACCAAGTATGATAGTGATTAATATGTTGTTGAATGCTTTCATGGCCAGAATCATATATATAAACCCCACTTGCCCGGTCTCCAACTGACCTCACAACCTCTGAGGATGCCTGCCTAGACATGGGCGAAATGTCAGGAGAGAATGTTTCTGCAACATGGTCATACAGCCCGGAAAACTCACAGCAATCCACTGATTCTGCCCATGAAAGCATTCGACAACATATTAATCACTATCATACTTCTCTGCAATCACAATATGGTGCTGCTTTGGTGATGTATGGTCCCATGATCACAGTTCCTCTCTGTCTTGCAACCCACTTATTCTCTACCCAGGACATGTGTACCTTTCAATATTTCACAATTTATTTTTGCTGTGATTTCGCAATGACAGCAAAACAATAACATAAAAAAGAAATATAAGAAAAATGTAATCAAAGCAACCTTCCCTACTTGGGAATAGTGAGAGAGGATGTGGAAAACCATGCTTAGTGACACCACATAACTGCCAAAATATCACAATTGCAGCAGAAGGGAATTTTGGACCAGGGGCAGCATAGGAACAGCAATGCTGCTGGGAGCCATGGACAGGTTTTCTCCCTCAATGAAATGAGGCTCTCAAACAGAAAAGGCATGGTGTTATGTGATAAGTAACCAGCCAAACATGCTAATAACTTTATTAACAGTGTTTACTTCAACCCCATATAAAAATATCACCTCTTTCTCGACCCAACCCCATAGTACCTTGCATCAGGAAATAATGAGTAAGATTTATTGTAAAGGTAATTTCAAGCAGTCCAAACTTTGGGGGTTGAGAAATATAGCATGAATCACAAGTTGCACTCTGAATTATTTATAATTGTGGCCTACAGAAAATTCACCATGGAGTTACTGAAGATTTGGATGATTGCAGCTTTTCGGGATAGCAAACCCAAGAAACGATCTTAACCTTCCTTCTGAATTCATACAATTCCAACTGACAAGATTGTGCTTATATTGCCATTTTAAAATTGTACAAAGAAAGAGTATTTACCAGAGCTTTTGCACCATAAGTAGAAACATCACCCTGGATGAGGAGAGGGAAAATGCAAACAGTTATTGTTGTTATCATTAATAACACAATTGATATATAAGCCATAAATCACAATCCAACCACAGTTACTATTTCTCATGGCCACCATTACTTTCAGAGATATTATAATTCTGTTCATGTGCTCACCTGAACATGTGAACCATTATATCTGGTGGTGGCAAGGATGTGAACACCTCTAAACTGTTTCCTCCAACGTCCTCAATAAGTTATAGTCTGCTAGTAAATTAGAACTTTGTGTGTTAAGTACAAAAGCTTAAATATGATTTTGTAATAGTTGGGGATGTGCAATCCATTAAAAACGGTTTGGAATTCATCACAAAACTCAGAGGCACTGACATTTTGTTTCTAAGTGTTTCTAAGGTATAGTTACTGAAAAGTTCATTACTATAATGAGAGTAATGAAATTTTGTTATTTCATTATTGTAATTGCACATAATTCCATAATTGGGGAAACTTCAGGGGCTCTTTTCTCCCCCATTTTTAAAGCTATTGTAGTGAAACTTGCTACAATCGCAAAACATATTTACCACTGTTAGCCCACAAAGTTTCAGAACATTTCACTTAGACATGTATTTTTGGGAACTTTTCAAAGTTTTTATAAACAACAATTAAAAAAGCCACAAGAGCTATCTACTTGAATTTTATCTGCAATTCACAAGATAATCAGAGCATCAATCCTCAGAAGTTTCAGAAAGATACACACCTCTACAGATTTTTGGGGATTTTTGAAAGTTTAGACAAAAACAATTTATCTTCCAAAAAAAGGGACAATAGGAATCCCCTTGAATGTCTGCCTTTATGACACACAACCACATGACTTCAACTTGGCACAGATTTATACTATTACTTACTTACGTTAATCCTCTTTGCAGATTCAATAATTTTATTTATTATTATTAGACTGACTCTAAACAGCTGATGCCATTGGGGCCTTCTGATGCTAAGCACTGCATTCTGGGAAATGTAGTTTAGAGCAGGGTCTTTTGCATTCTCTGCTACAAGGGACCTTGCCTTCCCAAACTACATTTCTAAGAATGCTGTGTTCTCAGTTTCTTACCCAAGTTTGCTAGTCCCGCCCCCAGTGCCTTCCTTATGGAGATCGGACCAAAGAAGAACAGGATTGGTTTTTAAAACACTTTATGTTCTCTTGGCTTTAGCCAAATTGCTTAATGTCTATACTGAAAATTAAACTGACCTAGGTAATATCTGGGGATAGTCAGTACGTTATACCTCAAGAACTGAGTACGTAACAAAAAGACCACTTACATTATCACAACTGTTACTGTTGTAACTTCCACTGGTCTGAGAGCCCTGCCAATGAAGAGGAGAGAAAAAGAACAACATTATTGCTTCTCATGAGAAGACGGTCTTAAATATCATGATTTGAGAAACTGGAACTGAAGATCAGATTCATATTGAGAAGTCAAAGCAAGATCAAAAGACCTTGTTCCAATTCAAGTGGGAGACAAATGACTGGTGGCCCTACCATACAGAACATGCCAGAATATCAAGGCAGAAAATCCCACAATATCTGCTTTGAACTGGGCTATCTGCGTCCACACTGCCATATATGCCAGCTCAAAGCAGATAATCCAGAAGGGGCCCTAGAGAGACAGCAGTTTGTCCACTTTTGCGGGACCCTTGCACCCCTAACCCTTGCAAAAGCAGAAAGCTTACTAATACATTAAAGGCAGTCTGGAAACTTCAGGTTTCCACTCTCAAGCAACCTACCAAAAATGTAGCTCTAAGGCCCCTTCTACAATGCCAAAAAAAAAAATACAGATTACCTTATTTGAACTGGATTATTTGACAGTGTAGAGTCATATAATCCAGATTATGTGGACAATCTGCTTTGATAATCCGAATTATATGGCAATGTAGAAGGGATCTAAAACTGCTCTGCCTTTCTCCACGTATACAATATGATTCTATAGTGACATTACACATACTTTACATTGTAAAATATTCCTTACCCCTCCATATTGGTTGCTGCCGCCATATGAGCCACTCTGTCCTCCCTGTACAGAAATTATGTATGAATTACAAAAGATCAACTTAATATTTATCAGCAAAACTACTATTTTCTATTTTCAGGGGGAGAAATGTGTATAAATACTCATTTTGATATCTGCATCTGTGTGTCTTTTAGCAAGGCATTTGTTAAACATATATTGATGTACTGTGGGCTTGGCCTCATGTAAGCCACACCGAGTCCCTTACGGAGATGGTAGCGGGGTACAAATAAAGTTTTATTATTATTATTATTATTATTATTATTATTATTATTATTATTTCTTTACATGTTGACTGCTACTACCATATGACTCAGTCTGTTCTCATATATAATTTACAAAAAGTTCATCTTACTATAACTGCCCAAGATGCTTTCTATATTTGAGAGGAGAAATAACCATAAATGTGCATTTTGTTTTCTGTATTACCAAGACATTGATTAAATATCTATAGTATATTTTTAAAATACCTGTCCATATTGGCTGTTACTGCCATACGATCCACCCTGTAAAGGAATCACATATTAATTACAAAAGCATCACTGTAATATCTCTTCACAAAAATATTTTCTAGATTCTGCAGAAGAAATAAGCATGAATATTAATTTCAATTTTATTTCTGATACACTGTGAACACATTTGGTTAACAACAACAACAACAACAATCTTTATTTATACCCGGCCACCATCTCCCCGAAGGGACTCAGGGCAGCTCACAGATGCATTTGAAGTGCCGCATATAAAACAGACAATACATAGCATATAAAACAGCAACAGTAGTCTAAAAACAACTACACACATAAACCTCATATGATACAATTGTAAAATTCCTAAATCGCAGTAGAACCTGTGAATAAGGCTGGCTATCCACAATTAACAAATCAAAGTACCAGCGAAAGCAGTTGCTGAATCCTCAATATGATCATAGATTACACAAGATCAAAGGCCTGTCTGAAGAGCCATGTTTTTAAACTAGCCCGAAAGGCTTGGAGAGTGGGGGCTAAGCTAATCTGTCTAGGGAGGGTATTTCAAAGCCGGGGGGGGGGGGACCACTGAGAAGGTCATCTCTCTCGTCCCCACCAACCATGCTTGTGACAGTGGTGGGACCAAAAGAAGGGCCTACCCAGAAATCTCAAAACCTGCACTCGTTCATAGAAAGAGATGTGGTCTCGAAGATAGGTTGGACCCGAAGCGTATACGGCTTTATAGGTTATAACCCGCACATTGAATTGGGTCTGGAAGCTTATTGGAAGCCAGTTTGAGCTGCTTTAATAGAGGCGTGGTATGCTCCTTATAGCTAGCCCCAGTTAGTAATCTGGCTGCCGATCTTTGCACCAACTGCAGCTTTCAAGCTGTCTTCAAAGGCAGCCCCACGTAGAGTGCATTACTGTAGTCCATTGTGGAAGTAACCACCATGGCCAAGTAAGGCTTTTCAAGAGCTGGTGCACAAGTTTTAACTGTGCGAAGGCCCCCCAGCCACCGCAGATACCTGAGCTTCAAGCATCAGTGAAGAGTCCTGGAGGACTCCCAGAGTGCGGACCTGTGTCCTGAGAGAGAGTGTAAACCGGTCGAGCACAGGTTGCCACCCTATACCCTGATTGGCCTTGCGAATGACCAGGACCTCTGTCTTGTCTGAATTAAGCCTCAACTTGTTGGCCCTCATCCAGTCCATCACAGCTGTCAGGCGCTAGTCCAGGTTCCGTGAAGCTTACTTGGAGTAAGGTGGAAAGGAGCAGTAGAGTTGTGTGTCATCTGCGTAGAGGTGACACCCAACTTCAAAACTCTGGATGACCTCACCCAATGGATTCATGTAGATATTGAAAAACATGGGGGAGAGAATGGAACCTTGTGGGACCCCTCAGGTCAATGGCCAGGGGTCCGAGCATGTGTCCCCCAGTATCACCATCTGGGTGCAGTGCCCTCAAGATTATTACCAATGTATGTATGTATGTTTGTGTGTGTGTATAAATATATAATATATAAGAAAAAGCTTTTACCTGTCCATACTGACTGTTACTACCATACGATCCACTCTGTAAATAAATCACACATTAATTACAAAGGGATCACCTTAATATATCCACAAAAAATACTTTCTATATTCTGCAGGAGCAATAAACATGAATGCTTTAAAATGATTTTGTTTCTATGTCTCTTTGAATAACTGTGGTTATGACCTGGACATTTATTAATAAAAAAATATAAAATATATATTTTATTTGTTTATTTGTTACCTCATGGCTTGAGGCAGAGCACAGCACAATTAAGAAATATTACCATAAAATACGTACCATAAAATTCGTACGTTAACATGCACCATTGCAAAACACATATATTAAAATACGAAGTGCAAGTATTAAAATAAAATAAAATACATATAACACAATACAAATAGAGTGCATTTTATAATTCCCCATTTAGAATTATATTATACAAGAAAAAAAAATTACCTGTCCATACTGACTGTTACTACCATATGATCCACTCTGTAAAGGAATCACACCTTAATTAGAAAAGGATCACTTGAATATATCTGCATAAAGAATTTTCTTGATTCAGAAGGAGAAATAAGCAGATATTTTAATTTCAGTTTTGCTTTCTTCATCTCTTTCTATATGCTTTGTTACAAAGGCATTGAGTATATAGGTATTATATATTAGAAATATTTTTACCTGCCCGTATTGGCTACTGCTGCCGTATGATCCACTCTGTCCACCCTGTATAAATAATATAGTTATTAATTGCACAAATATTAATTTCGTAAAGCTACTTGTCGTATTGAGAGACAGGAAATAATAATTTTATTTTATTATCTGAATTTCCATACATACTTCTATTACTGTTCTACATAACATGTATATTATATAATACAGGTGTGTTTACCTGTCCGTATCGGCTGCCACCGCCATATGATCCACTCTGTCCACCCTGTACAGAAACATTACAAAAGCATCACTGTTATAGATATTATCACAAAAATATCACTTTAATATATTTGCAAAAAGTTATATTCCAAATTTAGGATTAGAAATAAGTATACATTCTCAAATTTAATTTTGTATCACTCTGTGTCTACTAAAGTCTACATGATGTATACTGTATATGTGTGTGTGTGTGTGTGTATGTATATGTATGTAAAGATTTTACCTGTCCATATTGACTGCTGCTTCCATATGATCCACTCTGACCACCCTGTACAGAAAACAATTCCTCGTTTTTGAAAAAATATACCAGAAATCTATATTCTTAGCTGTTTTCTATACTTAGGAATAGATTAGTCTTCAAGTTATTTTATTCTTTAGCCTCTGTTTAAAAGCTTCCAAAGAAGGAGCCTCCACCACACTCTGGGGCAGAGAGTTCCACTGCTGAACGGCTCTCATTACCATCGTCATTACTGTGTTCATCACATATTCACATGTTCATTGCACATTCAGTACAGAGTAAGGAGTTGAGTTATCCTTATTAAAAAGTATTAAAATATTTATACCTCATACGTAATCTAAAGATATCAGTTGAATCATGTTGACATAAAGTAAACAATAATATTCATTTGAGAACACTAATACTATACACAACCATTTGAAAAGTTAAAAGAAGAAAGTTTAAAACTGGTTAAAACACATTAAAATAATTTAAAACCAAGCATTTATTTTTCCTTGGCACTGAATTGAGAGCAACTTTGATGGGGAATGGAGCCTAAAAGGAAGTGTAGCTCTATTCTGTATCAAAGCTACTCTCATCCCAGTGCCAAGGAAAACTAAATGTTTTTTAACTTAATAGCACAAGGGTGTAGATTGTTATGTCATGCCTTAGTATAGACATAGGAATTTTCTGCATCTACTACATAATACTGTTGTATATATTAAATATATTCTGTATTATGGAATAATTTTACCTGTCCATATTGGTTGCTGCCACCGTACGATCCACTTTGCCCACCCTGTAGACAAAACAGGGCAAACTTAATACATTGCAAAAGAACAACAAAGTTACTTTCAAGACCACAGGTTAGTGGGAATCTCTATTTTTATTTTATATCTCTCTGTATAAGCCACCTTTAATAAGTCATATATTACATAACCCACACACTGCTTTTTTACCTGTCCATATTGGCTGCCACCATATGATCCACTTTGTCCACCCTGTAAAAAAATTGTATACAAATTACAAAATGATTGCTTTTGTGCATTTGTACAAGGGCAGTTTTTAAGTTGGGAAAGGGGGGCAAAATATCAAAGAACGGATTGTCGAAGGCTTTCACGGACAGAATCTCTGGGTTGTTGTAGGTTTTTCGGGCTGTATGGCCATGTTCCAGAAGCATTCTCTCCTGACGTTTTGCCTGCATCTATAGCAGGCATCCTCAGAGGTTGTGAGGTCTCAAAGAATGACATTAATAGCTTTATTATGCACACCCCTAGATATAATAAACAGCAGAGGGCAGTGTTGTTCAGGATTTTAGAGCACAAAAGGCTTCTATGAAGTGAAAACATTTGTGTTCTTGAAATGTGTGGCTGAAATGTGAGAGCTGGACCATAGGGAAGGCTGAGTGAAAGAAGATAGATGCTTTTGAACTGTGGTGTTGGAGGAAAGTTCTGAGAGTGCCTTGGACTGCGAGAAGATCCAACCAGTCCATACTTCAGGAAATAAAGCCCGACTGCTCATTGGAGGGAAGGATAGTAGAGGCAAAGATGAAGTACTTTGGCTACGTCATGAGAAGAAAGGAAAGCCTAGAGAAGACAATGATGCTGAGGAAAATGGAAGGAAAAAGGAAGAGGGGTCGACCAAGGGCAAGATGGATGGATGGGATCCTTGAAGTGACTGGATTGACCTTGAAGGAGCTGGGGGTGGTGACGACCAACAGGGAACTCTGACATGGACTGGTCCATGAGGTCACGAAGATTCAGAAATGACTGAACAAATGAACAACATGGCTGAAATACCCTAAATGTGTATGATTTTGGAAGGGTCAGTCTTGGTAAGATGGGAGACTGCCAATGAACGCCAGATACTGTAGGCTATATTTCAGAGGAAGGAACTAGCAAAACCACCTCTGGAAATTCTTTGCCTAAGAAAAGCTTATGAAATGCATGGGGTTGTCATAAGTCAGCATGCATGTGCCTTGAAGGCATATACAAACAAACCAAGCTGTAAGTCATGCCTTGTAATGGCATTTACTTTCCAAAGGAATGAGAGTTAGGCGGAAATATGAGACTTCGATCCATAGTAAGTTTGATCCATACAAAAGTCTGTTTTACCTGGCTGCTTCCATAGTTTTGTTGCGATGATCCACCCTGCAAATAAAAAATAAAAACATTTTAGGTAATCAATCATCTGTAATATTAAAAATTACAAAATCAAAGTGCCTTTACTATGCCTAAAACAGGTCAACAAATTAAAGAGTTGTTTAATCTGGTTGCTTCAGGGAAACAATTTACATATAAACATATATTAGCACATAGAATTTAGTAACAACTTGAAGACCAAGAATTAATTTCAACTGTTAGTCTTCAACAATGCTGTTTGAATCAATTGAAATTATACAACTCATTGATTCATCAAGTGTCATTCATTCAATGAGTCTATGCTGTTCAGGTCTAACCATTTGAGCTCTCTATTACAAAAGAGATTTTCAGGGAATTTCAAGAAAGACAACTTACCGGTCTGCACGGACTGCTGCCACCGTATGTATTTCCCTGGGGAGGGAGGGGGAAATAAATAATGATTTATTTCCTCTGGAAAATGTAAGCATATCTTCGTTTCTGGCCAACACTGGTGAAAAGGACTTATTTAAATCCATTAAAATGCTACTAACAGAACACTTACTTTCAAGTTTAGAAATCAGTAAATATTCACTGGACTTCCTGTGCTTTTTAGAAATTGCTCTGTGTTCTTCATGAAGGATAAATATGGGTTATTGACACTTAACTATTATGTTATTTTCAATGAAATATTTATTACACAAATCCCAATTCTGACGAGTGCATTGTAGTAAGCAGAAAGCATGCAAATAGCTTTCACACAAGGCTTTAGCACAGCAGGTTAACTGCCAGCTGTAGTAAATCTTGCCAACCAAAAGGTTGACAGTTCGACGCCCGAGTCAGGGAGAGCTCCTGGCCTTTAGCCCAGCTTATACCTATCTAGCAGTTTTGAAAATAGTAGTAAATAAATAGGTACCGCTTAAGTGGGAAGGTATTTAAGGCACCCATAAGGAAGTGCCAGAAAAAAAATGAAGTTTACGAACAAAGCTCTTTGGCAGGGAAAGTGGGGCAACAGCACTCCCTTGTGGCCAGAACTAAGCACAGCCTCCAAGATGCAGAAGATGGGAAAGCCTATATATACCTCTATCTAGGTACAGCTGTTTGTTTTGTCAGTGTATAACGGCATTGAATGTTTGCCGTATATGTGTTCTGTGATCTGCTCTGAGTGCCCTTTGGGGTGAGAGGAGCAGAATATAAATACTGCAAATAAATAAATAAATGACCTTGGAGAGCCTGGAGAGCAATGGCTTTGTATGATAAGACTGAGGACCTTTCCATACTGCCATATAATCCAGATTATCAAAGTAGATAATTCACCTTATCAGATTTGAAATGGATTATATGAGTCTACACTGCCATATAAGCCAGTTCAAAGAAGATAATCTGGATTTTATATGGCAGTGTAGAAGGGGCCTGAAGTACAAGTGGGACTAATGTATTGCTACAATGGCATAACTGTATGTTTGTTCAAACAATTCATCTTGAGCCATGATTTAAGGCTCAGATGACACACTAAGTTGAAATTAATATAAAATAGAAAGAGAAGCACCTGATCTCCTTACGGTTCTACTGGAAAAGAGTCATTGGGCTTACTGAAATTCCACTTCATTGTGCAAGGTTTATGGCAAACTATCCCTCTGTTACATTAAACTATTGTATAACTTCCTCAACATAAACTAGAGAAAAATTAAGAATTCTTTCCTTACAATTATAAGATATAATCCACTTTAAAAAATGGACTCTGATTTGTGGTTAATGATTCTCACCTGACCACAAGGTCTACTGCCACTTGAACCCGATGATCCACTGCTGCCGCCACCAAATGTATACGATGATCCACTGCTGCTGCTTCCGAAGTTAGAAGATGATCCACTGCTGCTCCCAGAAGGAGAGGATCCCGGTCCGCCAAATGTGATAGAGATTCCATTACCACCACCTGAAGAGGAGGATCCGCTAGTGCTGCCAAATGTAGATGATCCACTACTACCGACTGAAGAAGATGGTCCACGGCCACCAAATACAATTTTGGTCCCACTGCCTGAAGGAGAGGATCCACCGCTGCTAACTATAACAGAGGATCCACCCTGCTGCAAAACATAAATGACAGATAATAAAGTCCAGGATTTTTTTAATTTTACCTAAATGGAAACTACTTTTTTTAAAAAACAACAACTTTATTTACAAAGATTAATTTAAAAATAATTAAACCATTTATGAGATAGAAAGCTGACTTTCCAAATATTAAAATAGAGGAATATGTACTTCAAATATATTTAAAAAACATATTTCCAAGACTAGAATAAATTATGTATAGAAAACATTAAGGGCCATTTAGGGCCCTTCTACACTGCCATATAATCCAGATTATTAAATCATATAATCTACATTATTTGCTTTGAACTGGATTATGTGAGTCTACATTGCTATATAATGCAGTTCAAACTAGATAATCTGGATTTTATACGGCAGCACAGAAGGGACCAAAGTTAATGAGTACAGCAAAGCCTGACCTATCATTAGGCAGCGGGAGGCAATGACATCAAGCAGTATTTTTGAAGTCATGAAAGGGCAGTAAGTTTGGTCATTAATTAATTTATTAGTAATAATAATAATAATAATAATAATAATAATAATAATAATAATATCTTTATTTTTATACCCCACCTCCATGTCCCCAATGGTACTTGGGGCAACTTACAAAAGGACAAGCAAAACCAAATAGAAACATATCATAAAAAAACATAACATCACGACAACAGTTATTATTCTAATTCTAATAATAAGGTTATTATTCTATTTTTTATTGCCAGGGACAGGGAGAGGTGCTTGTGAAATTGTCTAGCATGCAACATTAATCTGGGTGGATCTACAAAAAAGATTAATCACATTTATCAGCTGTTGTGGCAGAAGCAGGCAACTAGATATCCTTCTTACTGAGAATTTGATCTGTGTGATTTGGGCTCTTGAAAATTATTCCACGTGTTAGTGCTATCAGCTGTGCATGTGTACTTGTGGACTGAGGAACATGTAGAAGAGAAACCTACACCTCTGAAGAAACCAAGACATGGGAGGGTTCCACACGAGGCTTGTTCGCAGGCTTGCTTTGCCTCTCCCAGAAACCAAAATAATGGGAAGAAGGGACATCATTAGTTTCTTCCTATGTGAGCTTCAATTTAATTCCCGATCAGAGCATGGGAAGGGCTTATTGTGTTGCTGGTCCAGTGAAACTAAAGTAACAAGGATGGTTTCTATGAAATTCTAGTGAAGCCAGCATCATGTTATTAATTTACCTGAGAACCGTAAGAACTACTGCTCTGCGATGAAACAGATTGTATGCTCTGTAAAGAAAGCAGAAAATTAACATTTCAAAGCAGTAAATAACAGTTATATAAACATGTGCAGTACAATTTTCTGTGTTTTTGATGATGGTGTAACCAAAACTGGAAATGGCTAGTCCTCGTTTTAATTCCCAAGGAACCTAATAAACTTCCCCAGACTGCAATTCCCAGATGAAAACAAGGATACAGAGGAAAGCAAGGTCAAGAAGGAGAAAGTTGTTCAGGAAGAAGAACACACAAGTTAGGAGAAGCCGAAACAGGTTGCTTTAGCCTAAGCCTACCGGGAAGGAGAAGAATCATAGAATCATAGAGTTGGAAGAGACCTTATGGGTCATCCAGTCCAACTCCCTGGCAAGAAGCAGGAAAATCACATTCAAGCACCCACAACAGATGGCCATCCAGCCTCTATTTAAAGGCCTCCATAGAAGGAGCCTCCAACACACTTCAGTGCAGAGAGTTCCACTGCTAAACAGCTCTCACAGTTAGGAAGTTCTTCCTAATGTTCAGATGGAATCTCCTTTCTTGTAGTTTGAAGCCATTGCACCACGTCCTAGTCTCCATGGCAGCAGAAAAAATGATCTTGATTTTTGGCAGTTGTAGTTCACCCACATTCAGAAAGCACTGAACCCAGCCAACGTTGGATCTGAACTAAACTTGAAACACAGACGCAACATAGCCAACTGTGGCCAACTGTGAACACAGATGAGGTTTGGAGGTGATTGGCCTTGGAATATGGGAGTTGTGGTTCACCCTTAACGGAAAGCTCTCTGAACCCCACCAATGATGGATCTGGACTACACTTGGCACACAGACTAATAGTGGTGGGGTGATTGACCCATGATTTTGGGAGTTGTAGTTCACCCACATCCTTATGCATTTTCTAATGGGCGCATTCATAAATAATAAATAACAAAAAGAAAGACTGGCTTTTTTCCTAAGAAATAGCAATGCAAATTACCAAAGTGATATTACCAAACATTCCAAAACAAAATATGCACTTTTCAAATAATCTGGGCATTGTTGGGTACTCAAGCAAGTATATAATAAAAGTGTCCATCCAAAGAAAGGGTTTCCAACACATTCCAAGGCAGCATATCCTAATGTATTCTAACTATTTTATGGACTCAACCCTTAATACCCCAAAGTAGTGTGTCTTTAAATCTAAGGCTGTAAAGAAGTGGGGAAAAACCTACATCTCCCTAACTTCATTGCATGCAGCGTCCACCATAAGATTTCAAAGAGAGGAGGGTTTTTTTTCCAACACAAAATACAGGAGAGGGAAGGTGGGTGGGTGGGGTCAAATCTCTACAGTGTGATGGCAAATCAGCTGAAGATTACTGAGTACAACCAAGTAACATGGATAGATTTAACAGTGTGATGGAGGTAGGAGAATCTTCCATTTCATTTCAAAACGGAGTATGACTAAGCTCTACTCTACCAAATACTTGATTTGGATCAATGTGATAAAGTGGTCAGAGATGGGAACTGAATGGTGCTGAAGGTGTTGCTGAACTACAACTCCTAGCTCCCAATTGGCTAGGCTGGCAAGGACTGCTCATTTGCAGGATCACCTTCCCAAGCAGGAACCTGAAGTCATTTAGCTAATTTCTTTAAACTTTATAATGAATTCTATTCTGTCACCTCAAAACTGCCAACAACTGGTTTCTTTCCAAGTGTAGGACACGTCCTAAAAAAGTTGCAGTCTCAGAGACAAAGGAAAATGAGGCACCCTTCCTTTTTTAGAAAATTGGTTTGTTTTGGGTTTTTTTTTTGTAACGCACACCTCAAAATTGAGGTGCACATTATATTTGATAGCTCACTAGACTCGAGTAAATACGGCTATTTATTTACTGACAGATTTTTTTAAAAGGGGTAAAAGAGTTACAGTTACAAGAATCTGCTTACCATTTTACAGGCTTGGCTGTTGTAGGAGGATGAGGTCTGCAAAGAAGAAAGAAAACCCCAAAGAAATTCCTTATTGAACAGATAATTAATATGTTGCTTTGATATAAAATATTTCTTTCAACAATCGATCTGATTGGTGAAAGCAGAGTCACGTCAATTTATGTGTGGGCTTAAAATTCTAGCATTTCTTACTCAGTGAGGTGGGAAAGAGGCATTTGGAAATTAAGCAGTGGAATCATTAGGAGTCCTCATTCACCATCCCCTTTCCTCTTAGGCCCTATCTACACTGCCATATTCAGTTTCTGAATTCAGATTGTCTGCTTTGAACTAGATCGTATGGTAGTGCAGACTCATATAATCCAGTTCAAAGCAGATAATCTGGATTCAGAAACTGGATGATATGGCTGTAGCTGACCAAGCTATTGGGGCAACACAAAAAGGGGAACCAAGTATATATTTATATTTATCCAAAGGGAAAAGAAAATTTCATGCTTTCTTTGTATCCCTGATCTGTACTACATAGTTATTGCAATTGGAGATCACTTCAGTAATTGCTAGGAATTCACACTACAGAATCCTGGAATTTGTAGTTTTGTGTCGTATTTAGAATTCTGTGCTGGAGTCCTTCAGTGTGCTGTCTTATAGTATCCGAGTGACAGAATTTTGTAAGATGAAGCCATGGTACTTAAAATAGTAACAAAATCAGTTAACTGCATAGTGATACAACTCTTTTTCACATGATGTTTGGTAAATCTACCTAGTTGTACCCAAAACATTATGCAATAATAGAAGTTAGCTGAACTCAGCTTGTTCTCTTATTCAGAGGAAAATGAAAATTTCTAATTCTGTCAATTCGAGGTATATTCTCTGTTGGCAAAAATGGTTAGCTACAAATATTAAGAGTTTCGTGGTACAGATCCAATATTTTGTTCTGTAGTTTTTTGAAAATGCAGCCAACTTAATGCTAAGACAATGTTTACCTTATCACAGATCTGCCCAGGCTGTCCAGTCTAATGAGAAGAGAATGAATGGAGAGCATTACAAAGGAAAAAAACATATCTAAATTACAATAATAATAATAATAATAATAATAATAATTTATTTATACCCTGCCACCATGTCCCCGGAGGGATTCGGGGCAACTTACAGACAGCACACAATAGTGCCATAAGCCACATAAAGTACAGACAAAATACATCAACAATTACAATAAAATAATATCAAATTAACATAAAATTACAATAAAATGATATCAAATTGACATAAAACAATATACTTTGCCTTTCTATTGCTTGAAAAAAGCAATGCATTCTCAAAGGCTCAGCACTTTAAATTATTCTTCAAATATATTATTTTTAATGTTCTTAACTTATATATAAATAAAAATGAATGCATTACAGTGAATTAAAATAATTTTATCATGTGTATTTTATATAAATACAATAATAATAATTTGAGCATGGGGCGTTCAGCATAATCCTGGAAGTCACATGACCTTAACCAGTAAACATAATTATTATCATTTTGATGAATTAGATTAAACAATAGTTACCTGAACGGTAATACGGACACCACCTTGAGAGCCTGTCCCCTGCAATAAAAATAAAGAATTCCCCAGTCAAAGTAAGTGTTATTGAAATACCCTGCAGTCATTCAGAAAGACATGTTCTTATTTATGGGGTGAAGAAAATGCTAAAAAGTTATTACATGATCTGTTCAGAAGTTACCAAGGATCACCTCCAGTATGGTTTCAATTGTCACAATTATATGGGTTGTAACACCAATGAATTATTTGGATGATGTATAATTCTCTCTCTTCTCCCCCCCCCCCCGCCCCCTTTACCTGTCTTTTGTGGGGACTATGATTTCATGGGGAATATTCTTGGGATTATACATTTAGAGAATGTTATAGGAAAGTATCCAGAGGTCTTGTGGTAGAAAAGAGCAACCCGATCATACCTGAGACTGTATTTTCTCACTGTATTTAGTACTCTGCAAAAGAACCAAAGATCAATTATTTTCATGGACACGAATCCTTGCCTTAAGGAAATATCTGTTATGCTTATTTAGACTCAATTCATAAAATTAATGTCTCTTGTTCTGCATTGCCTCCTCTGCTTCAAAAGTCTCCTGAGACCCAAGTGTGAAATCTGACATATCATATGAATGGCTGCTGTTATCTGTTGTTTGTGGCGTTGGATACTTCCAAGCAACATATTACCTTCTGACTTAAATAAACATGATTCCATAGAATCCATTTTACCTCAATAGTCAAACAGCAAAGGCAATTCATACATCTGTGGGTTCAGCATTTGCTGATAACTGCAATCAGTTACAGATTTTGTTTTTGGGGGACATCCTGCAGCAAATTTGGTATACATTTTCAATGAATATCTCATTGAGCCTCCACCAATTCAACCTAGTTTGTGGTAGCCACAAAAATGAAGTTTCTGAAGTATAACTACTTTTTAAGTAAGTACAACACAATTAAACAGGAATAACAATTGCAAAGTGGGAATTTTGTTACATAGTGTAATCAAAGAAGAGCTGTCAAACATATCACTCATTGCTATTTTTCATATACTGTTTACTCATGCTAGTAATGGACCTGAACAGCTAACATATGAAATAAATTATGAAAACTATTCCTATTTGCAAGGTAATATCATGTAGCCATTTCATCCTATACGGTTCTTGTCTGAACGCATTTCCCTCTATGTCCCACCTCGCAGTTTAAGATCACCCGGGGAGGCCCTGCTCTCGCTCCCGCCAGCGTCACAAATACGTCTGGCAGGGACAAGAGACAGGGCCTTCTTGCCTGTGGCCCCCCCACCTGTGGAACTCGCTTCCCACTGAGGTGAGATTGGCTCCATCCCTCCTGTCATTTAGGAAGAAATTAAAGTCATGGTTCTGGGATCAGGCTTTAGGGCAACAGACATAGATAGCACTTTGGACATGGAATTGGATATGGAATTGACTGGAATGATGTTACGGCTATTAATACTGTTTTACTGTTTTAATGAATGTGTTACTCATTGTTTTAATGGTTATATTGTTGTGTTATAGGTAGTGGCATCGAATTGCTGCCAAATGTGAGCCGACCTGAGTCCCCCTTCAGGGTTTGAGAAGGAATGGGATAGAAATACCAGAAATAAATAAAGTAACAAATAGATCATTTGCTTTTGCCCTGAAATGAAGAGTTTTGAGCACATGCTCCAAGCTAGCCAGTCTAAATTTTCCTCCATTCTTCATTTTAAAAATATTCTTTGTGGTGTTCCACTCTAAAAGTTTGAAATGTATTTCAAATAAAACAGAGGCGGAATGCTTACCTGAATATGCTTGTATTTGGAGTTGGCAAGTTGCTATAAAGGAATAAGAAAACATTCTGTTTGCACAAAAATCAATACTATGATAATGTTTGGGAAATACAATTGGAGACGTGGCTCTCTCTTAAAATAACTTGAAAATCACTCATATGGCTTGGTTTGATATATGGAGCAGACATTTTGTGGTCCTTAAGTTACTTCTAGGGCTGCTGGGAGCTGCAGTCCAGCAACATCTGAAAAGTGAAGGCTGGCCATACATGGTTTAAGATGTGCTTCAAGACAGAACATGTAAACTAAAAGAATCCTTACCGATGTGTATGTTGAGCGCTGTAAAAAACAAACATACAGAAATGATTTATTAATTTAGCAGAAAACTATAGAATAACATTTATTGTAACAAAATATTTATATCTGACAAGTCAACCAATGCATTTCATAGGCCCCTTCTTTTAAGATATTTAGGACACTGTTTTCTCATATCGAGTATTTTCTTATAGCAATATTATAGTTCAAAGTACAACATTTCAAATATTTTTTCAAAGAAGAAAGAACTTACCTCAGGTGGATAAGGGTTGCTTGGAGGATACACAAAGACCTACCAAAAATAAATTTATTAGAAGTCAGATTTTGTTTGAATTCGTAAGATCAAATTTCTGGCATACTATTAATTTATTCTCCAACTCCACTTCTATCATTTTGTTTGGCAAAGAATGAAGTGTTTGCAATACTTCATCACATTAGAGAATGAATCCACTTTAAATCCAGTTTCTGCCTCTTGCAGAATTCTGGGGTTTGTAGTTTAGTGAAGCGGTTAAAGACTCCTCCCTAAACTACAAACTACAGCATAATGTGATGCAGGATGTCCCACAAAAACAACGTTTTTGCAGTCTAATAAACTTTCCCCACATTTTAATAATAGAACCAATTAGGAAACAACATTTATAACCCAGGAACAAGAATTGTGTTATATAGCGTTATAAGGAAAGGATATACTGAAAAAAACCCCTTATATTTTAATTTAGAAATAGTACATACGTAAATGTGTGACTTCATGCATGTGTGCGTATCCTTGAAATCACCTGACAGTTTATGGTGACCCCATGAATTTCATACAATTTTCTTAGGCAAGAAATTCTTAGGGATGTTTTGTGATTTCTTTCTTCTAAAATATAGTTCACAGGACCTGGTATTTGTTGGGGGTCTCCCATCCAAATCCTAACAAGATCTGACCCTGCTTAGCATCTAAGATCTAGTCCTTCAGTGTATTCTGGCAGATGCTTGTTGTCTGTTATTGTGTGCCTTCAAGTCATTTCCAATGACGGTGACCCTAGGTGATCCTATCATAGGGTGTGGGGTATGTGTGAAAGTATGTGACTTGCTCAAGGTAACTCAGAAGATTTTTTTGACCCAGTAGAGAATTGAACCTTAGTATCCAGTGTCATAGTTCAATACTTGAATCATTTCAACACATTGGCTGTCTAGGAAAAAAGAGTACATACCTTTCCTTTATTTGACGTTGAAACAGACTGAAAAGAAAACAGAAAACATATATTCATATTTTATTCATTGGTACCAAACTGATTAGGGAAAGGCAACAGAAAGAGTTCTTGTCTGCCCAAGGGTTAATCCTGCCCTGCTTCACAGATCGTTATTTTTTAAATTAATTGGAAAAAATCCAACAGAGCCAGTGATTAAAAGAACTTACCTGTCCATATGAGTTGCTGCTACCATAGTCAACACCCGGCTGCGGACAAAATAAATGTTGGTTACTTCTTCATAAAGGGCATGGATTTTTAAAATAAAAAATCTATGTAATTAAATTAAGTCTATTTATAACTGTAAAATGAAGTAAAGCTGGGAAGAATACAGGGGAATTATATTTACTAAGAGGAATTTTGGAGCTTCCACAAAATTGGGGATTATATCATCCCCAGCCTTGGAAGTGATAGTTAGAGCTGGTGAGCATTGGGAATCCCATGGCATCTGGAGGACTAGAATTTGTTCAGCCCAGATCCCAAACATAGATCCCTTTCTAAGTAAAGGTAAAGGTTTCCCCTGACATTAAGTCTGGTCGTGTCCGACTCTGAGGGTAGTGCTCATCTCAATTTCTAAGCTGAAGAGCGTTGTCCATAGACACCTCCAAGGTCATGTGGTTACCTTCCTGCCAAGGCAGTACCTATTGATCTACTCACATTTGTACGTTTTCAAACTGCTAGGTTGGCAGAAGCTGGGCTTAACAGCACAAGCTCACCCTGCTCCCAGAATTCAAACCACCAACCTTTCTGTCTGCAAGTTCAGCAGCTCAGCGGTTTAACCTGCTGTGTCTCCACGGGGCTTTGGCCCCTTTCTACATTGCCATATAATCCAGATTATTAAAGTTGATAATCCACATTAACCACTTTGTACTGGATTATTTGAGTCTACACTGCATATAATACAGTTCAAAACAGTTAATCTGGATTTTATATGGCAGTTTAGAAGGGGCCTCAGAGAAAGCACTGGGGAAAATATAATTGAGATTTACTCTAGGACATCATTTCTCAATCCCGAGGAACACGTGAAATTATTTTCAGGTCTCAGAGAACCCTAGTTGAGGACAATGGAAACGAAAAGGAGTTACTATTGAAAATGCAAATATGATTCTCATATTTATCATATTTATCACAAACCATGATGATTATAGCAGACATTCTTTTTGTTCTGCTCAGAGAGTCCAACCAATTGAGATCCATTAGTTCAGCTTTGTAAAAGCTTTTCCAGTTCTGTTTTCCATCAGATAGTATTAACACAAGCACACTTGTATGATACATGAATAAAGTTAATTATGGTACCTACTACTCACAATTAAATTGAAATAATGCAAGCATCCCACAACCAACCCCCCCCCCACCACCACCACCACCACCACCCCGCCAAAAAAACCCTCAAGCAAACAAAAGGAAATAAAAATTCGGAAGATACTTACATCACCACAGCCATACTTGTTGTAAACACTAGCTGTTCCACCCTATATATAAAAAAAATATTTTTGTTAAAGTCAAGTCATGGCATAGCAATATTCTTACTAATTGAAACTGAATATTGAAATGACAGAAAGGAAGGAAGTTAGTGTTGCAATTTTTTTCATAAACCCAGTGATCTGAGATTATTGACATAAAGTATTTGAAAGAAAGAGGTTGCCTATTCAAAGACGAAGGTGTTAAGAAACAACTGGAAATGCTCTCAGTGTTCTTCATAAAGTATACAACCCAAGCCCAACCCTAGCATACAATGTTAAGAAAAACAGTCGCAAGGGGACAAAAGTCTTTAAAAGGTGGAGAAATGTGTACTTACACCAATGCATCCAGTCTTTTTGATCCCTCCTTGGTACACTATACCTCCCTGGAAGACAATAAACATGGATTATTTCCTTGTAAACTACTTTTTTGAACAGCTCAGCAAAGAAACTGGCATCATATGGCACTAATAGCTGTCATTGCAGCCCAGTTACTTTGCAGGGGAAAATCTTATTTGAGAATAACTATTGCTGTCCTTGGGAGAAACATATACAATCTGCAAAGAAATTTAATACTGATTATTAGGCTGAGGTATTTTCATACCCTATTCACACATGGTATATTCCACCAGAGACAGTCCATGAGGGTTCTGGGAAATCAAGAAGATGTCACATCTTGTTGACAGTAATGGACATCTCCAGATGGGGTATATGTGTTGGGTATACAACAATAATTATTGTGGTAGTTCTCAAAGTTTTTCAAAATATACAAACAATGTCATTGTTGTCATGGCAATTCCCAGAATGAGATGCAACATTTTATTTCCAACCTCAAATGAGCTTCTTTTTAATACTGAGACATATCACTTCATCACTGAGTGCTCCATTTAAAAAGTGGTGAGACACTCTGTTCATCACATTAGGTTGGGCTCAAGTGTAGGATAGAGCATTCTTTGTGTATTTTAAGTGTGGGGGCCAGAATTCTTTTCAAATGTTTCAGGAGGTGGTGGGAAAGTGGATTTTTAGTAATTATTCGGATTCTTGGACAACTCTGTAATGTGATGGCTTTCCTTTCTTTCCCTTCCCTTCTCTCCCCTCCCCTTCTGTGATATGTCTGTGCTTTGTGTTGCATGGAATAGCCAGGAGAGAAGGATGATGATGATGATGATGATGATGATGATGATGATTATTATTATTATGTCTCCATGCTTCTTTGGGTGCATTTATACTATGCTCTTGGATCCCACTAAAAATACCATAACTCAATACTATGCAGTCCTGGGAGTTATAGTTTCCCATGGTCAATACCCTTCTCTGGGTGCATCTAAACTGTGGATTGAATGCATTTGGACCTTACTTTAAATACCATAGCTCCATACTATGCAGTCCTGGGAGTTAAAGTTTTCCAAGGTCCACACTCTCCTCTCTGGGGCAGCTGAGAGAGGGAGAGCACATTGCCACTTTCTCTCCCTTCTTGCTTCCTTGCTTAAGGAATTGAAGACATGTAACAGCTGACATTTCAAAGAGAGGGTCCCCCCCCCCACAAAGAATATCGGGCGGGGGATGGGGGTGGAGGATGGTGCCTAGCAATTACAGTGTGATAGCAAATCTACTGAAAGAATGCTGAGTACCACTGAGTATCACTTTAACAGTATGATGAAGGTAGGGAAATCATCTGTTTCATTTCAAAACTGAGTAAGACTGAGCTCTACTCAACCAAACACTTCCCTGCTTCAATGTGATGAAGTCCTTTGTAAGAGCCCTTCAGCAGTCATCCAGGAACATAATAATGCTGGTAAATTAGTACAACTTTGAGTAATTCCTGCTATTCCATCATCATGCTTTTTGTAAAGGTAAACCAAACTGGATATTACCTGGGCCTGGTTGCTACCACTCTGGAAAGTTGAACTCTGCACGGAAAACAAAATGCAACAATTTGCTCATCAAACAACATATATTAAGTAGCAGCATCTTCATAATTTTAATATGTATACCCCATCTGTTCTTTAAAAAAATAAATATGTATATTCTACCTTTTCCATGATAGGAAAGTGTGCACTGACTTATTCGACTTATCTTCAACTCTGTTTTATTCTGTGCTCCATATCTCTAAATTAATCAACTACCAAACTCACAAATTTTGTATTTTGTCTGTCTGTTTGATTTATTCTGTTAAAAATGTAATATAATTGACTGGTCGACCTGACACGACAAATAATAACCAGCTATTTAATTTTTAATAATTTACAGAAATTTCCTCCAGAGCAGCAATTTTGCCTTACAAAAGTGTTTGCAATGTTCTCCCGATTGCACTCCTCAAACCTAGCAAAACAAACAAAAAGCCCAAGAGTGAACAGCCAATTATTTCCTGTTTCAATTTTTCTGTTTGGTGGCTTTTCTCTTCACATTGGACGCCTGGCATAGCCCATAGTGGGCTTTAGGAATAGGAAGCTGGACACTGAACTTTCAGGATTTACCCATCCCAATTTACACAGTAAATCGATCTACTTGAACGTTGGATAGACTGGCAAAATCTAAGACAGAGAACCACAAAAAGAGCACCGAAGAGTTTTCTTTTCTCATTCTGAGTATCTTATGAAATTAAAATAAAATAGTAAAATCTTTTTCCAAGGCAGATTATGTACTAAGAAATAGATGAGAAACTCTGGAACCTATAGGAAGAGTTAGCACATTTAGGTCATGTTTATATAAGAACCATTTAAATATTTGGGATGATGCACTAACTTTTCCTATCGATTTCAGTGGTATTTACAGTTTAAGCATGCCTAATCCTGGATAATCACAGCAACAATTAGAACAAGAAAATAAATTTTATAGAAAAGAGATGGAGGCAAATATGCTGCTGTTAACCCATGTGCAATGGGGGTGGTGGTGGTGAAGGAGAGAACGCTTACCTTGGCACATTCACTGCTGCTTGCATATGTTCCACCCTGAAAATAAAATGAAATCATTGGTTTTTAACAATCTACATCAAATTGCAAGTGTCAAAAGCTTGTGGAGGACTGAATTTCTCCACAAAGCAGTTCCAGAGGTTTGAGGATGTAAATGGAGTGGGAAACAAAGCACGGATACCTTGTGCTTTCTGTTCCTATTGTGTATACTATTGTCATTACAGAATATGATAAAGATCATTACCTTGGGGAGATGTGAAATGCTTTTGGGGGCTACAACTAACAGAATAGGAGATTCTGAGAGTTTTCGCCCAAAAGTGTAAGGTTTTTAAACTTCACAAAACATTACAGAAACAGGGAGCTGACTACAGTTCTGGTTTTTCCACTTCTCTAAAGTGTATCATTAAAAAATGCAGGAAAGGTGCCAGTACCATAAAACAATTTGGTTTCTTGTGCTAACAAAGACCAGAGTCCTGAGTTAGCTCAAGACTACAACTGACAGAGGAAAAGAGAGCTGCCTTTAATCTGTAGCGCAAGAGCCAAAAGCTCAACTCTAAGTCCACTTGCCACACAGACCATGCAATGGATGCGATAGTTGCATTAATAAGATACACATTTGAAATGGTCATCCAGATATTCTTACCTGTCCACAGTTTACTTTTACAGTGATCGATGAAGACTGTAAAGAAAAGGAAAGAGTGAATGCTTATTCAAAGGGCTTCACTTATGCTGAATTGTATTGACATAGATCTAGCTCACATTCTTGATTCCTCATCATGTAAAAATCATATGTGATTGGGGATCAATAAAGGTTTCATGGGGAGATCTATACTCCATTTCCACAACTGCAGATATTTCAATCATATTCGTTCATTAAATTTGAGTAAGCAGAATTAAATTTTGTTGAGTTACATTTTGTCTCCACAATTTTAGTAATTACATTCATAACAAGCAAGCTAAACCTTTGGAAGATCGCAAGCCACTAATATTTATTATCTCACTGAACTGGTCAGACTGCCAATACCATGTTGGTTACATTGATACTTGGCTCGCCTTGGTATTAGGGTCCTCCATATGTGGAATCAATACTTTTGGCATTGGTCAACTTCCTCTGCATTTGTCAAAGTTTACCAGATGGTCCCAGTCAACCCCACAGGTTCTAATTTTATAGTTGTGCTTCTTTAAACATAGAGTGAAATTTCTCCTTTCCCACAGCCAGACCCGTAGCCAGGATTTTAATTCGGGGGGTGAGTTTGATTGGGGGGGGGGGGCTCAGGGATATATTGAGCATTGTGATCAGATCATGATATGAATACACATAACAGTTTAAATAATGTTCTAGTAAGGCCTTCTCGCGGACCACCCTGAGAATTTGGAGGGGGGGTGTGTGAAGCCCCTCAAGCCCCCTTCCCAGCTACGGGCCTGCCCCTTCCTTAATTTTCATGCAAACCTAAGTTTGGTGATTATATAATTAGATAGAAGGGAGTATTTAGTATACATTTTTATTCAGAGTAGTCTGCCCCTGCAAACAAGATAAGGCACAACAAACAAAAGAAAACAAGTCATCTTGACTTCTTTGCCAGTTTGCCTGGCATTGAAAGAATTTTGCCCAAAAGCTCTAGTTTATTCAACTTGGGTCCATTACAATGGGTAACTTTTGCTAGTCCTATACAAAATATCTTATGGTGACCAAGACATTTCAACAAACCTTCTTTCTACTTCTTGCTGATGCATTCACTAGTTTGGGCTCATCAACAACTTCAGAAACATTTGCAGTCTTATTGACATCTCTAGGAAAGAGGATTGTTCTGGGAATAACAACCCAGTATGTTTCAGGATCACGAAAGATGGTGGCTCTGGAAAGATAATGGAGTTGTTAATAATTACCTTATAATTATAATATACTGTAATGTTTTCCTAGTGGTGTGTCAAAGGTGAAACAGACTCATTTGGTTGCTCTTCTATATCACAGCACAGGTAGTTGGTAATTAAGGCAGTGAATCCACAATATGGTTTTTGTCTGGGTTTTGAAGAACCTATCTGATATGCTGAACCTATTACGCATAGTACACAAACCATAGATCACTACACCAATAAAGTAAGAGGCTCACTCTTTTGTTGGTGTCTAGATAACCACAGTTCTTACTGAATGTGATATAGTGATACACATTAGATAATTAAGACGCCTGGCTGGAACAATGTTTTTGAAAGCAGTGATAATGTAGAAAGAAAAATAATCCTGAGGAAATAGAGAATCACACTCAAAATCTCTTAAATATGTGCTTATATAAACTGAATCCTTCTAACACTGGGCCAACCACAAACAGATGTGATGTTGTAGTTTTCCTCTGAGTCCATGTGAATTGATAACCCCAAGGAAAGATTAAATCACAAACAAAAATGAAGCCTTTTAAATCTGTACTTACACAAACTGAACTTTTGTGGCTTCAGGTGAAATCCAAACAGACGTGATGTTGTGCTTCTCATCTGAGTTCTTGTGAATTAATGTGGAACTCTGGAAAATTAAAGATGTGCACATGATACATTTATCCGGTTTGTTTTTTGAAATTATAAGACACACTGCAAAACCAACTCTTATTCTGAGAAATGATAGTACAAGGAAAACATGGCACCAAAGAGCCTCCTGTATCTACTTGAGCTAGTACTCAAATGTGTAAAGAACATTCAAGTTGCATCTTCTGTATCATATCAGACTGGGATACCTGGCCCCAGGTTCCGGGTGCGAGGATTAAATCAAAGCAGGATGTTTTTGCTGCCTGAAATGGAGCAGCCAATGAAAGAGTGGCCATACTGACCATACTGAGAAATTGTGGGAGTTGCAATCTAGAACTCCCAAAGTCATGATATATAGTGCACTCAAAGCCAAAGGGACAAAATTCCATGCAAATCTCATCCTCTCCTGGATAACAATAATAGTAACCAATTTAGTTCTTTTTTTTAAATGATAACCACATTCTGTTGCACTCTAACTAATGGGCACCCTTAGTACCCGAATGGTTGCTATGCAGTTGTGACCCATGATTCAAATCACAGTTGTTGAATATCTTGGGAGGGTGGCAACGAACCCCTCATAATGGGTCAAACTGTAGAGAGACAGTTCTGTACGCATTCCTTATAAGATCAGAAGTGACAGTTTTGCCTGAATCCATGTTTAATTTGTGTAAAATTGTGCCATAATTTCAAGCAATATTCTGAGAAAAGAAATCTAACTGCGAGAGAATAATCCTGTGTTATGCAGTTTCGCATTGAACACATTGTTTCAGAAGATATTATTCATCCATGTTAAATCATAAACAAACATACCGATAGGTTATAGCAATTAAAGGTGTCTGTATTTGGATCTGTGATATAAAATGAGCCAACCGGGATGTTTTTATCAATGTCTCGGGCCTGCAGCATGAACCATTTGAATCCAGCATCTGGTGGTCCTTCTATGTTCACTGGAGAAACAGACATTATGAACATTGTCAGTGTCATATACCTGATGATTAATTTGTGCTGGGTATAGTATATTCATTCATCTGCTCAACTGCTCACTAAAATTTCCAGGACATTTTTCAAGCAATTATGATAAGAAATCTCTTCACACTAGCTTTGTGGTGAATCCGGTGACTGCTGTCGGGGCACGTGGGGAACCGGTCGCCCATGCCCCGCATTGCCCAGTTTACCAGTCAGCGATCCCAAGGGGAAAAGCATCAACCTTCCAGCTTCCCCCTATCGATTCAAGGCAACATGGGAAGCCTCCTGCATTGCCACAGTGGCTGCATGCTCCTCTTCATCACCCCTTTAAGCGCATCGCACCACCAGAAATAGTAGTGTGTCATGTAATGAGAGTTGTGCTTAAAGGGGCAGCGAAGTGGAGCAAGTGGATTCTTCCCCCGTCTGATGAGGTCATAAATCCGCATTTTGCAGGTGATTCCAAAGGAGGCTTTTCATTTATAATTCTTGACACATCAGGTGTCTAGCAGACAAAATAGTCACCCTTCTCTGCTGGGACATTCTTCGCAAAACATTTGTTTGCATCTTAAAAAGTATGGAAATTGTGTGTTTTTTAAAAAATAGAAAGAAGAGTTTTATACATAAAATAATGTATTTGTTTTGGGGATACAAAATCTTTTTCTGCCTAAAGAAGACTTTTGTGCAATTTCCTCATATATTTTTGCAGAAATGAATTTTTCACAAAAAAGATTTCAAAACATACATACACAAAATAATTGGAAAAAAACTATTAATGTTGCCTACTAAGGACTAAACTTTGAAATTATTATTTTCTGCATTTGATAACCAAATAAACATAGACTTCAATTCCTTGATACCACAAACATATAACATGAAAATCATATAACACCTATTTTCTACCTAAAGGACTCAAGCAAAGGCTGGATCTACACTGCCCTATATCCCAGGATCTGATCACAGATTATTTGCTTTCAACTGGATTATATGAGTCTACATTGCCAGATAATCTGAGCTACAGAGATAATCTGGGATCATATCCTGGGATATAGGGCAGTGTAGATCCAGCCAAAGGAGGTTTAATATGAATTGCTGGGATTGCTTAGAGCCCACTCAAATTCACCGTGCTCCCCCAGAGTTTTTAATTTACCATACAGGGAGCTATTTAAGTCTTGCAATTATCTATAAAGTCTTACAGTGATTAAATATCACAGACTCATTACAACAGCGAGATTAAATGTATTTCCCTTAGAATTGCTAAAAGACAGACTATCTAGAATTCCTTACTCCCAAAGACTATGCCCCTGTGGAGGAAATGAAATAGAAACAATAGAGCACATTTTATTGCAGTGCCGCTACTGCATAGTGCAATGTAGCCAACTTTTATATCCAATCCTGTCCCACATGACCAGCCATCCCCCACAGAGGATTGTTAGATATCTTTTAGACAAGGCTGAGAAAGCAAATATTAATTGAGATGTCAGTGCTGGATCTCAGTTGCTAATTTTGTGAACAGAAATGCTCCTTGCATTCATGGAAGGCACCAAATCCATCAGAGAGTTTTTGTTAGAGGACGAGATGAGTTGCTTTTTCCTCTTTTCCCTTGTAATGCTTCTCATTGTGTTTTGGAGAGTTTTGAAGACCTCCAAATTGCTTTCCAGTATGCACAGAGGGGAACGAGAAATCCAAAGATTGTTTTCCTACAATCATCCACCTGTCTGGATTTAACCCACACTTTTGCTACCACAAGTTCATCTGGAAAATGTGAAAGGTTAATCTACTCTGTTTTAGTTCCAATAAATGAGAAACAAATGGTAAACTAAGCAGAGGAGAATACAAATATGTACTCTACCTTTTACTTCACTTCCTGGATCATATTGCTCAGAAGGAAAGGAAACGTGAAAGGGAGATGCAGATTCCTGAGGTTGACCTGGGTGGTCCGGCACCAAAGTTTCACAATCGATTGAAAAATTTGTATATGGAGCACTGCGGACTCCGGATATTAAGATCCCACACAGCAGGATCACAAAAAAGTGGTATCTCTCCATCCTGAAGGGAAGCAACAAATGACAGAACAGATGAAGAACATTTTGGTGTCCAAACTATTGATGCAATTAACAGACAGGTTAAGGTATTGCTAGCAATTAACCTTTTAGCTCACAATATCAGATTACACCAGTGTATATGTGTGAGTGCCTTCAAATATCCTATTAATGATGACCCCACACATTTCACAAGGTTTTCTGAGACAAGGACTAGTCAGAGGTGGTTTTGCCAGTTCCTTCCTATGAAATATATCCTACAGTTCCTGGTATTCATTGGCAGTCTCCCATTGAAATGCGGACCTTACTCAGCTTCCAAGATCAGCTGGGATCTGGTGCCCGTAGGGTATTTACATCCTCTCAGCACATATATTGCCCATCATATTGTCCATACTTTGTTGTGTTGCAAAGACAGCAATAATAACGGCCTTGGGAGATAGTTGTACAATTCCAATTTAGGCTGAATGTGAAGGGAGCATCAGTAGATAAAGACATGATTTTACAGTGGAATGGTTTTTTTCCCATGAAAAATTCAAGTAATTCTAAGCAGGGTATTTTCTAGAACGCTGCAGTGTACTGTGTGAAAGAAAAATTATGACTGCCAGGCTAGCAAGCGTTCTTTTGCATCATCTAAGCAGAAAAGTGACAAATAGACTGTAACAAATTCTTAGACAACTCAGCATAACATTTCACTTAAGAGAATAATTTTTTCATGTCAGGAGCGACTTGAGAAACTACAAGAGAATGATGCTCTTTTTGTTTGCTTGTTTCTGAAATATTTTAATCAGAATTTACATCAACCTTGATCCTACATAGATATTAATTTATTTTGAAAGATCCCTTAATTGCAAGGGCAGAGGAATGCATCCAGATGAGGCTTTATTGATGCTGTTTAATTCATAAAAGTTTGTGTGTGTTTGTGTTCTCTCTTCAGATATTTGTAAACATCCTCTGTAGTCCATTACTGCTTCTGCCTTGTCTCTTATTACACCCATCCACCCTTAGTGAAGACATTATGGAGAAGCGACATCATGTCTTTTGAGTGACTACATGGGGGAGAACCCCACATCAGAAATCTAGAAGTACCCATTGTCAACAGCACACACTTTCTCCATTCCTTTTAGTTTCACACACATCCTTGGAAAGCCACATCATCTCTCACCAAGTTGTCATTTAAAGTTTTTCAGGGTGTGGAAGAATGGGGAACAATTAAACAAAGTGCTTAGGGGAAAAATGAGGAACCATGATTTGTGGGCACAAGTTAGGAAAAAACAGAAAAGTAGTGTAGAAGAATATCTGGCTTTCCAAATATATGATTACATCTGTTATTTGTTAGAGAAACCATCATCTAAGAGAAACCACAGACTAGGCTCTTCTCTTGTTTCCATAAAACCAAGTTACTATATATTTTTAAAATTACAGCATTAACAATACCTTTGATTTTTGTTTTTTGTCAGGAGTGACTTGAGAAACTGCAAGTCACTTCTGGTGTGAGAGAATTGGCCATCTGCAAGGACGTTGCCCAGGGGATGCTGGATGTTTTACCATCCTGTGGGAGGCTTCTCTCATGTCCCCCTTATGGGGAGCTAGAGCTGACAGCAGGAGTTCACTCCACTCCCCGGATTTGAACTGACAACCTTTTGGTCAGCAGTCCTGCCGGCACAAGGGTTTAACCCATTGCGCCACCGGGGATCCAATAGCTTTAATTGGATTGCATTTAGTAAAGAAAGGAAATCTTTCTGCTTCATATTCTATCTTGGATGTAATTTTACAGAATCCTCACATTGTTTTCTTTCTGAACCAACCATTCAATTACTTAGGCTCACATAGTAATTACCATTTCAACAAATCTAGCATGTACTGCTTGATGGAGACTGTCAATAACCCTGACGTGTTTGCTTGGCACAAAGGCAGATATTCTTTAATGAAGATGAGAAAGAAAATACCACCTGTTTCATTCCAGGTGCATTAGAGCAGCATTCTACCATTGTTCTTTCAAGAGGCAGGGAGCATTGTGTTTGGAAGTGGCATTTAAGTGCAAATGGGCTCTATAAATACATGATGAGTAATCCCTTTTGTGCACCTAGTATTTGGGACATTGTTATAGACTTCCTTTGGAATACCAAAGCAGAATATAGAATGACATTTAGAGATGTTATATGCAAGTCAATCAGATTTGAGTGCAAGGAGTTCACAAATCCATATATCTTATGATATTACATTTTTGGTATTATATAGGACAAGGATTTGTATGGTGATACAGAAGATGTTGGCATACATCTCCCGTTAGCCTTAGCCAGTATAATAATAGTAATAGTAATAGTAATAGTAATAGTAATAGTAATAATAATAATAATAATTCAAAAGGCCACCTTACTTGGATCTGCACGCATCATTCAAAAATACAACACACAGTCCTAAACACTTGGGAAGTGTTTGACTTGTGATTTTGTGATACGAAATCCAGCATATAGATCTCGTTTGCTGTGTCATACTGTGTTTTGTGTCAGTAAAATAATAATATTAATTAACAATTAATATTTAAAAGCTGACATTATATGAGGATTTTAAAATCGAATTGCAAAGACTGTGGCACAAACCAGTAAAGGTAGTCCCAATGGTGATCGGCACACTGGGTGAAGTGCCTAAAGATCTTGGCCTGCACTTAAACACAATCGGCGCTGACAAAATTACCATCTGCCAGCTGCAGAAGGCCACCTTACTGGGATCTGCATGCATTATTCGCCTATGCATCACACAGTCCTAGACACTTGGGAAGTGTCCAACGTGTGACCAATACAACAGCCAGCAGAGTGTCTGCTGTGGACTCATCTTGTTGTGTTTCAAATAATAATAATAATAATCATCATCATCATCATCATCATCATCATCATCATCATCATCATCTTTATTTCTAGATCGCATCTCTCTCTCAAAAGGGACCCAGGGCAGTTTACAGCATAACAACAGGCAAACACTCAATGCCTTACAAAGTAAGAAGCAGCATCAGGACAAAATAATGCACAATAATAACAGTAAACTTATAATGAGACAATTAAATGTTGAAATGGGGAATAAACTAATTAGACAATATACTAGGATGTGTAAACATTAAGCATATATCATTAAAAACAGTTAGACATGAATTGCATATGAAATGGCTAATACAGGTGTTTATTAAAATGTATCATTGCCATCATACAGTGCAAATGGTTTGCCAGCATTCTGGTAGTGTAGTATCTTCATCATACTCAGCCCCCTCCCTCCTGTCCTTCAGAAGGATGGTGAAGACCTGGCTGTGGGACCAAGCCTTTGGGGCAGTGTAATGAGGCAATAATAGAATGGTGTCCCGAGATGGTTTAAAACAGTTGATTTTAAAGTTGATATAAGTGATTTTAATATTTGTGTATATTTATAGTTTTATTTATTATTGTTATTCACTTAAAATGTTTATATTCTACACTTCTCACCCTGCAGGGGACTCAGGGCAGAGCACAACATATACACGGCAAACATTCAATGATGGAACATAAAACCATAAATATATACAAAAATTAAAATCACTTATACCCACATTAAAATCAGTTGCTTAAAAACCATCGCAGGACAGCATTTTGCATCCTTGCACTGTCCCAAAGTCTTGGTCCCACAGCCAGGTCTTCACCATCCTTCTGAAGGACAGGAGGGAGGGGGCTGATCTAATATTGCCAGGAAGGGAGTTCCGTAACTGGGGGGCAATCACTGAGAAGGCCCTGTCTCTCGTCCTTGCCAAAAGCGCCTATGATGGTGGGGGGGGGGGGGGGGGGGGGGCGAGAGCAGGGTCTCCCCAGAAGATCTTAGTTTCTGCAGTGGTTTGTAAAGGGAGATGCATTTGGACAGGTAAATTGGGTTGGGGCTGTTTAGGGCTTTATAGGTCAAAGCCAGCACTTTGAATTGTGCCCAGTAGCAAACAGGCAGCCAGTGGAGCTGACATAACATTGGAGTTGTGTGCTCCCTGTATGCCACTGAATGGTATTGAATGTTTGCCATATATATGTTGCCATATATATATCCCTGCAGGGTGAGTGGGGCGGAATATAAATGTTTTAAATAAATGAATAAATATTCCTCTCCATATGCATAGCCAATGGTATGAGCTAATGAAAGTCATTGTCTGAGAAGATCTGGAGGACCATCTGTTCCCTATCCCTAACAAAAAATATGGGTGAATAGGGACCCACCACCGCCATCAACACATCCTCAGAGTATTAAGATTTCAAAGCCATTAGCCAACCAAATTTCTGGATTACGGCTGAGTTCCTAACTATATTCCAGCAATATGCTTGAGATGAAGAAGAGCCAAATGCCAACAGAAACCAAGAGTTCTATGAACAACAAGTCACTGCATCAGATGGAGAGATGATAAAGCTTATGATGAGAGATCTGAATCATGCCAAGGACACACCCTTAGGCTTGGCAGCTACCATCATCAATAAAGGGTAGTGAGCAATCAGATGCCTGTAGAAACAAATGATCCTCAACATGGAAAGAACAAAAAGGTGCAGTGGAGAGAAGGGAGACAATTTCATCCCAGTCACTAAGAGAAATGTCATTCACTTGGGATACTCTATGTACAGTATCAGCAGGATAGGTGGGGTTACTTGTTCTCTTGTGGGTATATTGACTTGGACTGCCTCTAATTAAAACTTAAGTACAGAATGTGGGTGCTAGTCTATTAAACGGGGTGTGATAAACTGTGACTTCACATGAGCTAGCCAGTCTCTGTTGTTGAGATCTTTCGCGCTGACTCATAAGCAATGAATATTACTGTTCTGAAATGCATCATTTAAATGACACTGCTGCTTTGGCAAACAAGAACTTTAAACATAATTCAAACTCTAAATATTTATTTCCTTTCCTTCTTCCTTCCTGGAGATGAAGGGACCAAAACAGTATCTCAAAACCATCAGCTGAAGAGCAATTCGAGACTATTTTAAAGTTTGTTTGTGTGTGTGTGTGTCAGAAGCA